TCAACTTTTTCTTTCTTTGTCCATCTAATCTTCAACCAAAGAACCTGCATGAGACATGCTTGTTTTCTGACGGTTTGTTCCTGCTTTCATGTACTTGCTGGAGTATGATACTTTTTATTTATTCTTTTTTTTTTTTTGAGCACACAGTTATGGGCTTCAATATATTAGTGGCAACTGGGAAAATGAATCGGAGCTAGAAATTCTTCAGTACCAATTTGGGATTGATAAAATGACGACAAGCAGAGATATCAAAGTGAGGGGTACGGGTAGCATCAGTTAAGTGGTGATTATTGCAATTAGCCAGATTTTGCAGCGATAAATCATCCCCACAGAAGGGCTCTGGGCCAGGACTCGCAGAAAAGTGGACATTTGGCCCCATAATAAAGCATTCTCGGTGAATTACAAGCATGATTTCTGAAGCAATTTGAGCTCAACTTCTAAATCTCTAGAATTTGAAGAGTTCCTTCCAGACATAAAGCCTTCCATTTCAGGCAGGAAGAGATCAAATCGATGAAAGTCCATGGCCTCCAAGGGGTTGGTCCGTGTTGAGAAAAAGGCTGCGCTGTATACTTCCCGAATCCAAACCTTACGTTTCCCAAATTAAAGCAGCAGTGGTTGTCATGTTGGGCCACTTGGCCATTTCCTGGCATGAATAATTAGAGACCCAGAGGAGCAATCCTTTTGCAGTGGCAGATCATGACTTATGGGCACCAGCCTGGCCACTTTAGTCTTTTTAAGCTTGAGATGCTGGGAATCCCACATAGGAAACACCGCTCATATAATTATGACCCTTTCAATTATAGGGATAGCCATGTATCTAATTGTCTTCTTAAAAACAGTTTCATTTAGGTAGGCTTTATATATCATAAAAGTCACCCGCTATAAGTGTACAGTTTAATGATTTTAAATAAATTCATGCAGTTGGGCAACCATCAGTTTGTAATGACCTTGTTTTTTCCCCCCAATTGTGGTAAAATACGTGTAACATAAAATTTTACCATCTTCATCAATTTTTTTTTTTAATTGGGGAACAGTGTGTTTGTCCAGGACCCATCAGCTCCAAGTCAAGTAGTTGTTTCAGTCTCGTTGTGGAGGGTGCAGCTCAGTGGCCCATGCGGGGATTGAGCCAGCAACCTTGATGTTATAAGCCTGAGCTCTAACCAACTGAGCTAACCAGCCGCCCCTCCATCAATTTTAAGTGTACTGTTTAGTGGTATTAAGTTCATTCGCATTGTTGCGCAATCTCCAGAACTCTTTTCATCTTGTGTAACTGAAACTCCATTCCCATTAAATAATAACTCCCCATTCCTCCCCTTCCCTCGCATCCAGGCTCTGGCAACCACCATTCTACTTTCTATCTCTATGAGTTTGACTATTCTAGGGACCTCATGTAAGTGGAATCATACAGTATTTGTCGTTTTGTGACTGGCTTATTTCAATTAGCATAATGTCCCCAAAGTTTATCCATATTGTGGCATATGTCAGAAGTTCCTTCCTTTTTAAGGCTGACTAATATTCCATTGTATGGGTAGACCACATTTTGTTTACTCATCTGTTGATGGACTCTTGGGTTCCTTTCACCTTTGGCTATTGTGAATAACACTGCTGTGAACATGGGTGTACATATAGCTCTTCACATCCTTGCTTTCAATTCTTTTGTGTATATTCAGAAGTGGAAATGCTGGAATTCTATGTGTAATTTTTTGAGGAACGGCCATATTGTTTTCCATAATGGCCACACCATTTTACATTCCCAAGAAAGGTAACTGCCTTCTAATACTTTATGTATATTCAGGTCCCCAAAGCTATTCACCATTGACGGACTGATTCATTGTTATTTACCATGACTTCCGTGTTCCGTTACTGTGACAAACTGCTAGGGACACAGTGGTGAAGGTGTCTGCCCCTGTAGGGCCCGCACTGTGAAAAACAAGCAATAAACAGATATACAATCAAATCTGTAATTATAAATTTTGAACTGTGCTATGAAAGGAAAGAACTGGCTTCCAGAAGATCGACACTAATAGGCGACACCTCATTTGGATGAGGCAATGCCCATTTTAGGAAGAACATTCGCTGCAGAATAGAGCAGAGGTGGGACTTTGAGGAAAGAATTAGAAGATCTGAGCTCCACTGAGACCATCATCCTGTAACTGCCAAGTTACTGAATCCATACATTCAGCACACGTTTGTGAGTACTTACAAGGTGCTGACAGGAGATCTGAGCGTGTTTTCCCACCTGTGAAATGGGAATAAAAAAAGGATTTTAATTAGGACAAAATGGGATTATGTATCCCAAATAGCCTTATAAACAGTAATGCCTTAGTGTTCAGAGGCTGCTTGCTGAAAGATAAAACGGGAAGTGAATTTCTGCCTGGGGCAAACAGAGAATGATTGGATTATATAAACCCAGCCACCTAACAAAAGTCATTAAAAAGTTTAATATAATCCTTTACTCTGATCATTTTTTGTTTCTAACTCCGGTCCCACCCAGATCTTTTGGTTGTTTAAGGAATATTAAATAATCATTAAGGACTTGCCTTCTACCCCTCCACCACCCACTGACCCTCTACTTTGCTCTAGGGTCCATCTTCACCTCCCACCTAGGAGCTCCTGGCTGTAGCTCGTAGGTTGGAGGTAGGTTCAGAATGTGTACTGAATCTTTCTTTTCTTGAATGATATTCACGGAAGGGTTCCAGTTGAGGAGAACCTCCCTTTTGACTTTGTAGAACTGATCTCTAGGGACCCTGGATTTTCGAGGACAGGCTTAATTTCACATGTTTTCTGTTGCCACGATTTTTTCTTGTTTAGCGATCTTGTCTATATTCAGCTACAGCTGGATGACAGGTAGTGAGTGGGGGGTGACAGGAAGAATTTTGAAGTCAGGCTTAGGGATTGACCACCAGCTCAGACACCTTCTACTTAAGTTACTTACATGTCTTTGAGCCTCAGTTTCCTCATTTTCAAAATAGACAAAACAATACCCATCTCCCTGGGAAGATCAAAGGAGAAAGTGTACATTTAGTGAGTCTGTGGCACCTACTAGAGGCTCCATCAATTATTATTATTATCACCACTTGGAGACTGCGGTGACACAATTGCATTACTTTGTTCTAAGTAGAAATGGCGAATGTGTTTTAGCTACCACCAACTATAATAAATATATACAACTATATCTTAAATGACGTTTTCCTTAAACTTCATTTATTGAGCTGTAAACCTACTGTACATTCATGTAGATTGGTAAATTACATCTCCCGCCACACTATCTTACACAGAAAAGGTGTTGTGAATATAAGCAGATTAGTCAGCAAGGCAGGCGTTAATTGGCCTTTTTACTCAGAATGAGAATTCTAAAGGCTTCCATACATTATTAAACCAAATTCTTGCCTTTCCAACTTTGGCTGTTGACTGTAATTCTATCCTTTTTTGCTTTAGGGGACTTACATAAAACAACGCAAAACATTTTCAAACTGAGACTCAAAAAATTAGAGGTTAACCTTCCTTTCTTCAAATACGTTTTTATTGATGGCCACGAATATCAAAAAGATCATCAAGCTGATTTATTTTCTGCCTTGGGTTGTCCAAACATCCAGGTGAACATACTTAGGAGCCCAGCATTCTATTTTGCTTGCATTCCTGATGAGCTTTCAAGAAACTCTTACAAGCTGGGAACCTGATGAATAACTAATCAAGAAAATGCAATGCACAAATGCGGAGGAAGGGTTTATAGTTGCAGTCCCTTACAATAAAGTAAATGTCAAATAAAGACGAATGCCCAGAGGCATCATGGAAACATCCATCAAAAGACTTACAAAGCTGAGGATTTCACATCTATTCACCATTTATTGAGCATTTACATTGTGCGAGGCAGTTAGTGGAATTCAATACATAGAGATTTACTATATAGCTGTATATGCATATAATATTATACTCAATTTTAGAAAATTCCAAATATCCCCATAGTGGGATAATACAATTTCTTTGAACTATACACCTTTGTCCATAATAAAGTCTGTATTGCAAAAAAAAAAAATTCCAATAATGATTAGTTTAGTAACAGCCAGTTACTCTGACACTGCCCCTTGTGTTTCCATGGGAGATGGACAACATTCTTAGTTATAAAGTATGATGTTATCAGACATTTATGGCTCCGGTGGGGGGAAAAAATGCAATTGTTTGCTGTTTTGATACTATCTGGCTGCACTGGCTTTTAATCTGCCCTTTCTATATTAAGTATCCTGTCATTTTAAAGTAAAAAAAGAAAAAAAAATCAAGGTTGCGTTGTAACAAAACAAAACAAAACAAAACAATCCTTGTGAATCTGAATCCTGGGGGCTATTTAGCATTTAAAGCAAATAAATCATGGTGAGGGGATAATCTGAAATTTTGGAAATTCGAAGGCCACTTTTAGAGTTGAGATGGAGCTGGAAGGTTGAATAAATCCCCGTTTCCACCATTCTTCAGTCATCATGAATGTCAATATAAACACTTCAATCAAAAGGAAGATGGAAGGGGACTCGGGTCGCATCTCAGTTTTCTGTTTGTTTTTTGGTAGATGTAAATATTGAGCCAAACTATGCCACTTAGCAGACCTTCCTCCCCGGCATGCGCGGATATCAGCCTTACAAAAGTAATTTTTGGAGCACACTACCAAATATTCTCGTTCCAAAACTTTTTCGTAAGTCCGTACTTTTTTAATAAGTACACCAGTCTTTTTCTTTTTCTCTCCAAGGATTCAGATAGCTGGGGCGAAGGATGGGTCCCCCCCCTCCCCGATTTCGTCCAGATTCAGCCAATCTGAGCCCGGATGCTAATTAGTTGCGCTCCCCCGACGAACACGCCTTTGTCGCATGTAGGGCCGGACTACAAAGCCCAGAATGCCTCGCCCCTCCCTGATCAATGAGGGCTTATTTAAATGATCTCTGAGGTCTTGGACCCAGGCCAATCAGCTGTCAGGGCTCATGATAAATCGCAATGCATTATTGATAATAATAATTACTGGGACATGCGCGTTCCGGCCGAAGGGGGGTAAATTTCCCAACTCCAGGAATTTGTGGCGGAGTGGGCAAATTACCGCAGCTCTCCCGGCGCCCCGATGCTCGCACCATGTCGAGGCGCAAGCAGGCGAAACCCCAACACATCAACTCGGAGGAGGACCAGGGCGAGCAGCAGCCGCAGCAGCCGGCCCCAGAGTTTGCAGATGCGGACCCAGCGGCGCCGGCGGCGGGGGAGCCGGGTGAGTGGGGCCGGGGGCGCACAGCTACCCGCGTGTTCGCGGGACCCTCGAAGGCGCGGGCTTCGGGGAGCTAGCGGCTTCCAGCGCAGATGCTGGAGCCGAGATCTGGGGCTCAGTTCCAGAGGAGAGAGGCAGCTTTATCCACCCCCCCAACCCCGCCCTTGTTAATTTTACATTTTTATCGCCTCCCCTCACTTGTGTAAGTCTCACCCCCCAGGTCTCTCTCTCCTTAGTGTAAAACTGACCCCCACCCTCTCCTCTGTCCCTCTCTTTCCTGAAAGGTTCCCTTCTCCTTGTCCTCTGCCCTTCTCTTAATTGGTTCCACTCCCCTCACTGGTAACCTCCCCCCCACTTGTAACTTAGGTTCCCCTCCTCCCTCTCTGGCGCCGCTTTTTAAAAGAAAGACCCCGGGGGTCCCCACCCTTTCCCCTTCACCCCTTGGGGGCTTTTCTAGGAAGTTGGAGTAGCGGTGCACCCCTTGGAAGACCCCCCCCCGGGGGAGGGCGATCTGTTGCTCGCGCCCCTCCCTGGCTAAGCGGGGGGAGGGGGCGCGACCTCTCCCCACCCCCAGGAGCTGGGGTGCGGGCCACCCGCGCTGCGGCGAGCATCGGAGGGTCCGGAGAGGTGGGGGCGACGGGCCCGCTCTGTCCCTCGCGGAGGATTTCTTTTTTGGTTCTCGCTTTCCCTCCCCGGGCTGCGCCGCCCGCCGCTCTTCGCCCTAACCTTTCGGGGCCTGACCTCCAGCCATCTTTGATTTCCGACTTCCTAAAATAGCCGCGGCCGGCCCGAGGGGTGCGCGCCCCCAGGGGCCGGGCTCGCGGGCGCGCCGTCTCCCCGCCGGGGTGCACCGGCCTGGCGCTTTGCACGGCTTTTCTGGGGCGCCCGGCTTTGCACAAGCGCGCCTCGGGGGCCAGAGGGGCGAAGCCGGGCCAGGGCTGCGCGCCTGCGGCCGGGGCGCGCTCCCGGGGCTTCCGCGGCCGGCGCCCCCCGGGTCCGGAGGAGTTCGGGACCCCGGGCCTCCCGGCGGCGCAAACTCGCCGCCTCCTCCTCCTCGTCGCTTAACCGCGGAAGTTTCAGGAGCGAGTCGCTCTTCCACTATCTGCCCTCTGTCCCGGCCCGCCAAATTGTCGCCTGATAAGTTTTGAGCGCACGCGTGGGGGGAGGGGGCGCCTCTAACCTCTTGGGCCTCGTCGGTCGCTTCTCCCCTCCCCGCCTGTTTTCTAATTTCTCAACGGTTGACTAGGGGGGGGGGTGCGGCCACCCCGGACACGCCAAAGCAGAGGACTCCGATGGGAAGACGGTCGCTGCATTTTGACCACTGTTCCTTTTTTTCCCCCCCCGAGGACGGCATTAATACATTTCCCAAATTTATAATAGGTTAATCTACATCTCCACTTTCCCCCCCAAAGGAGCCTTTTTCGAGGGCAAATTAAAGAGATCGGCCCGCCGAGGGGGAGGGCTGTTGCGTTTTCGGGGCGTCCGATGGTCAGGGCAGCGCACGCCCGAGGTCTCAGGAGGGTGGGCTCTCTTTGTGCCTGGGGGGCGGGGTGGAGGGAGCGTGGAGAGCCTCTGTCGCCGGGCCCACCTGGAACAAAAGGGTTAACCCTCCGCCGGCCGGCTTCCTCCCGAGGGGAGGGCGGGCTCCTGGCTCTGACCCCTCCCCTGGTCCTGCTCTGACCTCCCTTCCCCTTCCCCCTTTCATTTTGGGTGGGCACACACAAGTGGGACTTTTGGTGGTATTTGGCACCTTCAGGGAGAGCTTGTTACCAGGCTGGGGGTGGGGGGTGGGGGAGGGCTTCTTAAATGAACGCTGGCTGGAGTTTGCAATCAGTTAACCCTCTCTGGTTAGGGTCTCTGGCCTGGCAGTGCGCTCCCTCCACTATTTGGGGGTGGGGGGTTCGCTATTGATCGCTTGGGCTGGAGCGGACCGCGGAGTTGTGCGTGGGCGCCCCCTGGAGGCCCAGCCTGGAGCCGCGCCCTTTGCTGAGAGGCGGGTCCCCCGGCAGGTACTGGCTCACACCTGATGGGGGACGGGTTGTCAGGGGAATGGAGAGCGGTGGGCTGGGTCAAGGGTGGGCGTCCCGGTTGCTTTCGCGATCCCTGGCTGTGCCCGGTATAATATGCCAAGTCTTTGGAATTCTTGGAAAGAATTCCTCGATCATAGACTGTTTGCAGTCCCCAGTTGCCACCATGGGACAGAAGGTAGTTTTCCCAAGCAGTACATTTTAACGGGTGCATTTCGCGTTTGAGCAGCTTGTATGTGTATCTATAGATACAGATAGGTAGAGATATGTGTAATTCTTTTTAAATTAAAATCGGTCTAGTCTTATTTCGCAGAGCCAATTTGAGACTCACTTGTAAAGAATGCGGTTTTTGAGGGAGGAAAATGAAGTTTGGTGACCAATTAGCAGATCAAAAAATCTGCAGGTGGTCAGGGGACTCATACAGGAAAATTAGCATTTTCTCAAAAGAGTTTCAAATGCCCTTTGTGCTAAACTGGATTACAACCTTCAACGATTAAGATTCCCAAGTTTCAAATAACTGCCTAGCCCCAGCTTCTTAACTGAAGTGACGTGCATTGGCTGTAAGGATTCTGAGAATTAGGGCACTTGGGGAGCAGCTTCCATTTTAATTGAGGGAGAGGGAAGTTTGTTGATAGCGTTAATGTTGCAGGCCGACTTTTTCCTGTGTTTCGATCTGTTTCCTAAAGGGAGAGGAGCTAAAATTTGCCCACAGCCCCTTTTGTTCCGTTAAAAAGAAATTGCACAAGCTAAGGATAGTTGGTCCTTCAAGCCTCTGCTAGCTTTCTCACCAGTGGGGAGCTGGGGACCCATCTCAAGAGGCAGGAGATTGAGTTTGCACTTTCTCTTTTTAAATGAAGTTAGATTTTTCGGTAAGGTTTTAGAGGGAGATGTGCCTTCCAGCGTGGTTGTGTGACTTTCAGCGGTGTAACTTTGAGACCCGCTCGGGCCTCTGAGCTTTTAGGTTCTTCTCTATACAGTGGAAATAAAGTGTCCTGTTTCATTTCAGCTGTAGAAGGCCCAGTGTGTCCTGGGAATATGATTGATAGTGCATGTTGTTCAAAATAGCGTTGTTTTTATTTACTTATTATTGTCTCAAGATGGTGCTGAACTGCCAGTTGAGATAATTCTGCAGCTTTCTTTGTAGCTACTGTCTGCCAGACGCCAGGCAGGGGAATCTTAAGTACGTTATCTTCTCATTTTTACTCATTTTAGAGTAAGCTGTAGCCTGTGGTTACCTTGTCCTGTTGGATACTGTAGCCTTTTCTGTGAATCCTAGGGGCTGTGTGTGTGTTTGGAGGCATTGGTTATGAGGTGGGATTTTGTCAGTTCCTTCGATGAGGGGCTATGGTGAGTGTTTGGATGGCTGAGTGATGATCTCTCTGACGTTTAATTTTTGAGAAGTGTCTTTGGAAGCTTTAGATTGAGGTCCCTGTGAAGCAAGTTGGAAATCAGGCAGAGTTTGTGTTTAGTGCTCTGGCCCTTTTCCCCTGATCTGGGGGAAAGAGTTCAAAAAGTTTCCTTTTTCATCTTCCTTAACTAACATATTGTACTTTTGCTTATTTTTGGAAAAGCATCTGAACAATTTTAAAAGCCTCTAAATCCAGACAAGAGCTACATCTCTAGTCACCACCATCTTTTTTCTTTTCTTTTTTAAAAAATTAATTTAGTGTCAGGCTTTGTTGTAGGGGCTCTGAAGCAGGCTACAGAAGCTCCTGCCTGCTTGGAGTTTACAAATGTGCTTAAAAGATGAACTCCAGTTGAGGCAAAAGGGGACACATCTCTATAATATAAATAGTGGAGCTCACACTCAGCTATGCAGCCGTCTTTGATTCTTTAACTCTTAATTTTTTTTCCCCCTTTTTAGTGGAGTCCCAGAATTTTGATCATAGACTGGAACAATTTTTTTTTTTAGCTCTTCATTAAGTAGAAACTTAATTATAGCTCTTAATTCGCCATCCATGACTTGAGTTAAAGGTTTGTGACTTAAGCATTTCTGGGATTGCGGAATCCAGGTGTAAAATTAAACTGGTAAAAGGGTGCTTTCTTTCAACTGGTTCAATACTTCCTGAGGTCTCAATTTCCTTTTGTTTTTTTTGGTAATTATCCTGGGGGTAGGGAGAGGGTAGAAGACATTGTGTAATTTAGATAACCTACTCATTGTATTTCTTTTTAATGTAAGAATTTGGGGGGGGGGAGATAAACTTAAGTCCTAATGCTTTTTCTCAAGATAAACTTTTTTTTTTTTAAGCATTTCTCTTCTCCAGAATTTGATTGGCCTCTGGTAGATGAGCTTTTCTTCCTATACAATGGAAAGAGTATTTTCTATCCATTTGGCAGTGATTGAATCTAAGACCCCTGCTGGGTTTACTGCATTCTTCCAACTTATTGGATAACTAGATGCTGGCAGATAACATTCCTAAAATTCGGAGTGGGGGTGGGGATTTAGGATGGAAGAAGGAGTTGCTATGTAATCCCCCTGAACTTTGCTTTTTCCTTTTGGGAAGGGTTCACTTAAGCAGACCCAGCAATTGTTCATATCAGAGTCCTCTCTTGGGCAAATACAGTTTCAGTATTTGCCAATGGTGGTCTGGATGTAGAAGGACTTTTTACTGCACAAGCAAACAGAGCTCCTGCTGTTTTAAGACTCAAGTGGGATGTGGCTGGTATGGTTTCGAGGCTACAGAAGAGGCAAGCCTGTGTATGCAGTGAAGGCAAGCTGGTATTCAGGTTGTAAATCACTCCTGGGAACTGTTAGATCCTTCTAGAGCAGGGGGAGCTTAACCTTTTTTGTGCCACAGACCCCTTCTCAACAGAATGTACTTAGATGCACAGAATGAAATACGAAGCAATACCAAGAAAATAAATTGCATTGAGACACACTTATCAAAAAAAAAGTTTGTGATACAGTGACACGTGCTTTTTGATCACCGTAAGATCCAGGGAACCTAGAATTTCCTGTCGTGCAACAGACAGATTAACATCGAATGAAAGTTACCTGCTTTCTATTGATGACAAACTCACGGGTTCTGTGAATACCACTGTGGTATGTTTCCTACATTCATAACTAAATGTTAAGTATTAGTTCCGATTAGTGACAGTGAAGAACATTTTTTCCTGATTTCATGGATCCCAGTTTACAAATGCCTGCTTTAGAACCTGCATTTTCAATGAGGGAATATTGCCCCTAAGGAGGTGAAAATTGTTTCTTGGGGGAAGACAAAAACATTGATATTACAGTGGTTTGTGACCTCCCAAAGGATTCCAGTGCATGAGCAGATATAGTGTGTTTGTGGCATTAAAATTTCATGGTGGTGGGGGGAGTGATTAGTGAAAAAAATGCTTTAAAAGCCTCCATGGGAGGGATGAAATGAAAAAAAGTTTGAGCAACATTGCTCTGGAAGAAACTGCTAAATTAGGTCACTAATTTTCGTGCTCTTCTTAAATAGTATTTCAGAACACAATCCCTGCTTTTTCTATTCGGGTCATCCGTATGTCACCTTGAGCTACTTGCTTCTGAGCCTCGGTTTCCACATCTTCAAATTGGGAACGGACTTATTTGATTATGTGGCTGCAAAGATAAATGCGTTAGGGTAGCGGAGCCTGAAGTGTGTGTGTTGTTGTTTGGAGGAGGTTGGTGGTGTTGCTCTTGGCCCTTACAAAGCGGAATGGCCATTTTTGCGTGGGCTTCACTGGAGATTTCCAGAAGTAGAATGGCTGAGACAGAGGGTGTAAACATACTAAATAAAAAGAAAACATAGTACAAAAGTGTATACAGTTTTAAATTTCTCCTGCACCCCATCCCCCAGACCATTCTCCAATAGCCAGAGACTTGCCACAGTTTCTCTTATTTCAAAAGTTTCCCATGTACATAGTTACATTTACTTGCAATACTAACGGGAGCAGATTAGATACATCCTGTTCTTTCCCCTTTTTTCCTCCTCTTGAAACAAACATTGGGCAAGTGTCTTATGGAGCAGCACATAATGTAGATCTCCTTCATGTTTTTGAATTTTATTGGGGAACAGCCAGGGTCATTGGTTACACATGGCTTTCATGCTACAGTGGCATAGTTGACGCTCTTAAGGAGGGCGCAGCCCACAGTGGCCCATGCTAGGATCAAACTGATAACCTTGGTGTTATCAGCACCACACTGGAACCAACTGAGCTAACTGGTCACCCCCTGCTTTATTTTTGTAGGCTACAAAAGTAATCATCTTCTTTCTATACCCTAATTTATGTCACTGCAACTTTACCGGTAAACCAAAGTATATCCATTTTGTTTTTGCTGTTAATATGAGAAATGTATGCTTGTATACAAAGTAAATTTCTAACAAGGGAATTGTTGGGTCAAAGGAGAACTGCACCAAAATATGATGTTGCCAGCTTGTCCATTGGAGAAGATGTATCTGTTTACAGGCGTCAATAATGTATGTGTTTCTCTTCCAAGACCAACTTTTTAAAAAAGTTCCACTTTTTAAAGTTCTTGACATATAATTGTCAGAATTGCTTCTCCAGAAAGATTTTATGCCACTTTAACACCCCCACCAGCGCAGCGTTTTAAGTCTTGGGAAAGTGTACCCATAGATACTATCTATCAGAGTTCTGGGAATTGACGAGTATTTTTAACTTGATTCTTGAAAATGGCGACTGTTGCTGAGCAGCACTGGGGGTGGTAAGGAAGGAGGTGCCTCCTTGTTGAGCTCAGGGCTGCATCATGTCCTGACTTTTTAAGTGACTTCTGGGCCTCGCAGAAAGGTGGTAATGTGTGTTTTAGTGCCCTCCTCCTCCCCCTCCCCCCAACCTGACTCCCCAGTTTTTCCTGCTCACGCCGCCGCCCCCACTCCCATTTCTGTGAGGGGAAAGATAGTTGCAGTCTCAACAGAAGAAACATGATAGCAAGTGTAAGAACAAAGGAAGAATTCAAATGGAGGTTCTGGGCGCTGTATGCCTTGGTTTTAATAAGTGTAGTATGTATGGGGCACTTAGGAGGTGCCTAGTCAGAATACAGGAAGCTATATATATAGGCTTACCTATTCACAAGGGATTCCTAGCCCCAGCCTTGCACACAGTAGGAGGTGAGAAATGTTGTTAAATGAGTTAGTCAAGGACTGTTGTCTTACTCTCAGTGGCCCTAGTTGCCCACCTCTGTCACCTTTAGAAATAGAAAGGTGGGGAAATTGGTCTGAATACCTGTACTTTCTACACATTTCTGAGATCCTAGGATGGTGCCAAGCACATGGTAGGCACTCAAACACTTAGCCCAGGCATCTACCTTATGAGGTTGTCATCATGCATGTAGAGCAGACATACACCACATGAAACCTGTTACTGACAGGCGAGCACTCGATTGGCCCTAGCTGGTTTTCTTGACCCTGGCAGGCCAGACCTTTGGGGGGGTGTGTGTGGGGGGAACCGTCATATTTTTTATCCAATCTGAAACTGGTAAAGATGAAGTCGATTTATTAAGGCCAAGCTATGTAAATGTGAAAGAACCACTTTTTGAAAATCTCAAATCTATTGATCGTCTCGAGAAATACATTTTGTCTCAAGGTCAACCCACCCCCCACATCCCAAACTCGTGGTGAACTTTTCAATCAAAAACCCATGATTTTAGGAAGTGGAAGTAGGGTAAATTATGTTAGTTTGCTTTAAAATGTAATACTTTATTTAAGTGTGACGTGGCTGATTCCTGGCCTTTTCCCCATGCATTTGTATGTTTCCAACAGGTTCTGTTTTAAACAAAAATGGTCACATTTGACATACTCTCCTGCAGCCTGTGTCACCTGACATCTGTATCCATGTTAGGGCACACGGAAATTCTCCATAGTTTTGCACTGTGGGTGAACCAAAACTTGCTTTTTTACTGCTGTAAACATTTCTCTAAAATTTCCCCTTTGGCTGGCTTAAAAACAATAGAAATTTATCCTCACCGTTTTTGGACGGTAGCGGTACAAAGTCAAGGTGTCAGCAGGGTTGGTTCCTTCTGGAGGTTCTGGGGAGACTCTGGCCCTGCCTTCCTCCTGCCTCGTTGGTTCCTACCGTCCGTAGGCCAGCAATCCTCCGTTTATAGCCACGTAACTCGTACACATGGCTCCTTTTCTGACTCAAATCTCCCTTTCGCTTTAAGGACACCAGGCATTGATTGGGGTTGGGTCCCACCCTAGTTACAATTGCAACGGTCCTGTTCCATATAAGGTCACATGCACAGTCCTGGGGTTAGTACTTAGCCATATTTGGCGGGGGGGCGGGGTTAGTCCAATCAGACCCTCCGGATGCCTCGTTCGCCTACGCAACCTTCTTTCTGCCTGTTGCCACACTGTCGCATTGTGAGTGGCCGTGGCTCTTCCTGAGACATTGCCCTTCATCCTCTCTTGGGCCGAGTTCTTAGCTTTTGCTCTCCCATCACAGGTGCTCCCATGAACCACCCAGGGACTGGTGATGACATGACTGGGGACCGAGTGACGCTGAAGAGGCCTCGTCGGGAGGAGACTCACGTCTGCGAGAAATGCTGTGCAGAGTTCTTCAGCTTCTCCGAGTTCTTAGAACACAGGAAAAATTGCACTAAAAATCCACCTGTCCTCATCATGAATGACAGTGAGGGGCCGGTGCCTTCAGATGACTTCTCCGGGGCTGTGCTGAGCCACCAGCCACACAGTCCCAGCAGCAAGGACAGTCACAGGGAGGATGGCGGCAGCTCAGGGGACGTGAAGCAGAAGCCAGGGGTGGAGCCTGTTCTGTACTTGAAGACGGAGACGGCCCTGCCCCCCACCCCCCAGGACTTAAGCTATTTACCCAAAGGCAAAGTGGCTAACACTAACGTCACTCTCCAAGCACTACGGGGCACCAAGGTGGCGGTGAATCAGTGCAGCGCGGACGCGCTGCCAGCCCCCTTGCCCGGTGCCAACAGCATCCCGTGGGTCCTGGAGCAGATCCTGTGTCTGCAGCAGCAGCAGCTACAGCAGATCCAGCTCACCGAGCAGATCCGCATTCAGGTGAACATGTGGGCGTCCCATGCCCTCCACTCCGGCATGGCGGGAGCCGACACCCTGAAGACGTTAGGCAGCCACATGTCCCAGCAGGTTTCTGCGGCCGTGGCTTTGCTCAGCCAGAAAGCTGCTGGGAGCCAAGGTCTGTCTCTGGACACCTTGAAACAAGCCAAGCTACCTCATGCAAACATACCTTCCACCACCAGCTCTGTGTCCCCAGGGCTGGTGTCCTTCGCCCTGAGGCCGGATGGGTCAAGGGTGCTCCCCAACCGCCTCCCGGGTGCTTTGCTACCTCAGCCCCCAGGCTCTGTGCTCTTCCAGAGCCCTTTCTCCACGGTGGCGATAGACCCGTCCAAGAAAGGGAAAGGGAAGCCACCCAACGTCTCCCCGGTGGATGTGAAACCCAAAGACGAGGCCGCCCTCTACAGGCACAAGTGTAAGTACTGTAGCAAGGTTTTTGGGACTGATAGCTCCTTGCAGATCCACCTCCGCTCCCATACTGGAGAGAGACCCTTCGTGTGCTCTGTCTGTGGCCACCGGTTCACCACCAAGGGCAACCTCAAGGTGCACTTTCATCGACATCCCCAGGTGAAGGCAAACCCCCAGCTGTTTGCCGAGTTCCACGACAAAATGGCGGCAGGCAATGGCGTTCCCTATGCACTCTCTGTACCTGTCCCCATAGATGAATCGAGTCTCTCTTTAGACAGCAAACCTGTCCTGGTAACAGGGACCCCTAATGTAGGGCTACCTCAGAATCTCTCTTCAGGGACTAACCCCAAGGACCTCATGGGTGGCCCACTGCCTGCCGACCTGCAGCCCGGGCCTTCTCCAGACAGTGAGGACGGATCCATAGTCTCTGGGGTGGGGCCAAACCATAGTTCCCCAAGGGTTGGTGGCTTCCAAGGGAGAGGGACACCCGAGCCAGGGTCAGAGACCCTGAAGTTGCAGCAGCTGGTGGAGAACATTGACAAGGCCACCACCGACCCCAACGAATGTCTCATTTGCCACCGTGTCTTAAGCTGCCAGAGCTCCCTCAAAATGCATTACCGCACCCACACCGGGGAGAGGCCATTCCGGTGTAAGATCTGCGACCGAGCCTTCTCCACCAAAGGCAACCTGAAGACACATTTCGGGGTTCACCGAACCAACACATCCATAAAGACGCAGCATTCGTGCCCCATCTGCCAGAAGAAGTTCACCAACGCGGTCATGTTGCAGCAGCATATTCGGATGCACATGGGCGGTCAGATTCCTAACACCCCCCTGCCGGATAACCCCTGTGACTTTACGGGTCCCGAGCCAGTGATGGTCGGAGAGAATGGCAGCACAAGTGCCATCTGTCACGACGATGTCATCGAAAGCATCGATGTGGATGAAATCAGCTCCCAGGATGTCCCCAGCAGCTCCTCGAAGGTCCCCATGCCTCTTGCCAGCGTCCACTCGGCATCACCCACTCTGGGGTTCACCATGATGGCTCCCCTAGATGCCCCGGGGAAGGTGGGCCCTGCTCCTCTTGTCCTGCAGAGGCAGACCAGCAGAGAAAATGGTTCGGTGGAGAGTGATGGCTTGACCAACGACTCCTCGCCCTCCGTGATGGGAGACCAGGAGTATCAGAGCCGAAGTCCAGACGTCCTGGAGACCGGGTCCTTCCAGGCACTCTCCCCGGCCAATAGCCAACCGGAAAGTATCAAGTCCAAGTCTCCTGATGGTGGCGGCAAAGCAGACGGCTTGGAGAACAGCCGCACTGAGATGGAAGGTGATAGAGCTTTGGATTTAACTTATGTCCATTTTGGGCACGAGGTTATCCAAAAGGAACCTGGGTTGAACTTGGCAAACGGAGAGTATGATGTATGTGAAGCAGCTCCTCTGTAGGGCGTTTGGCCTGTCTGTACTTCTGGGTAGAGGGGAATAATAGCTTCCTCTGTCCTAGTAATGACGTGCCTTTATTTATGATGGTAACGCACACTGGCTATGGACAGCATACGTTTTTATTGATTGTTATTGTTTGTGTTTGAGCCCCATGGGGACCTATGGGTAATCTTAAGAATAGAATTTTGAGAAGGTGGGCATTGGTCTTTAGCCATTGAGATAAACCATAATGTCTTGATTCTGAGGTCCCATTCCTTGATGCAAGGTAAACAAATAACTCTTGAGGGGTAAAAAAGAATCTAACCCATTTGAAATGCGCATGGAAACTGGGGTGCCTGTTGATGTCATTAATGGTAAAATGGGGAAACAGCCACATCGTAGAGCCTGAGAAGGTTGGTGTCTGAGCATGCTTTAAAGGCAACACTCTTTATGTAGGAACTTGAACTTGGATGCATGTGTTTACGTGTTGCCCATACCTTTACACCAAAGTGGTAGGTAAATTTCCCTCGGTGTTTGAGTCATTACTATTCTCTGTGCAGGTAAACAAGTCAAAGGAAAGCTGCTTCTCAGGTGTCGATGATGTCCTTGAAAGCCTTTTCCAGGCTCTCACATATAGTGGACACTTGTTTTCAAAACTGGATTTTTTTTCTTTTGGTTTGAAGAGTGAATGAGTGTGGGATGATAAAGGTTCAGGATTTCTTTTTTCTCTACATCCTAGGTCGGGGCAGCCTCCCATCCACATTTGTCCGTGCCCAGCCAACCTATGTCAAAGTTGAAGTTCCTGGTGCGTTTGGACCCGCGACCATGTCCCCAGGCATGACACCTTTGTTAGCGGCCCAGCCACGCCGACAGGCCAAGCAACACGGCTGCACACGGTGCGGGAAGAACTTCTCCTCGGCGAGCGCCCTTCAGATTCACGAGCGGACCCACACCGGGGAGAAGCCTTTCGTGTGTAACATATGCGGGCGAGCTTTCACCACCAAAGGCAACTTGAAGGTGAGTTTCTTTAGGGTGTCTGCAGGGATGGGGGCTAGGTGTTGAGCAGCATCTCGGGGTCCTCCATTCATAACGAATCTTCCATTAAGAGCAAATGGGATATTCTCTCAAAATTGGCGCCTGCGGTATTCTTTTTTAGAAGTATATTTTCTCACATCACAACATCTCTGAAATAGGGATGCTTCTTGCAGTCGATGTCTAGAATTGTTTTCCCCCCTGATCTTAGTAGCACATAAAATAATGATGTGTTTTACAAGGGATGCTGTCTAGGAGCAGGACCCATGGCGTCTTTTCTGCTCTTGTTTTCTTAGTATCAAGCTGAGCATGGGTCTTCCCATACTCGGGCAGACCATAATATCCTTCAACTGTAATTTAGTTAGATGTATGAAATCAAGTCTGGAAACATAGATGGTATTTGTCATGTGTTGTAATGTAGTATTGATCAATCATTTGTGGATTTTATATGCTTCTATGCTTGAGGGCCACTCGGTACTGTATGATGGTTTGGTTGTCCTAGCCTGCTAGGTTGAAATACATACCATGCAGTTGAACATACATATAGTACGGTACCACAGGAGTTAATTTAATAAGAAAAGGGCTCCAGGTTATCAGCCTTGCTTTTAAAACACAGCAGCTGGGTTCTTCCAGAGAATGGCCTATTGTTTGATAAATTGGTTCCACTAAGATTTCATGGGGGTGGAGAGGACCAGGAGACCACCCTCCCCTGTAAGGACTGAAAGTGGCCTGTTTAAGAACAGGATGGTTTTCCCCTAGGCCCTGCCTCCTGTTTGTGCCAGGTGTGTTACTCTCCGGACACCTCCCTCCGTCTCCAGTGAGTAGAACACTCACTTGTTGAGTTCTTTGTAGTTAGTATAAAGGTTGAAACTTCATTCACTTAAAGTTGACCCTAGAAGACGTATTAGTCATGTTAAAAATTAAAAATACTTATGATGACAAAAAAAACAACCTATATTCTTTTTAGTCTAGTTGCCAAAAGTGCCCGAGGAGGAACATGAAGTAACTTCATCTCTAATACCGACTTCCAGAAATAAAGCTTTTAGTTCGCAGGCCCCGGGACCAACCCAGGAAAGGCCTGGAGCTGCCCTTGCTGCCCAAGCGATGCCTTGTGCCCGGTTCCCCAGGCATGGGGGTAACGGTAATGACGGCTTCCGGTTGTCCTGCTGGAGATTAAATGAGTTAACTAGTAAAACGTTTTCAGAATTATGCCCGGAACATCTTAATAGCTTGTTAGAATGATTAAGAGCAAGTCACTTCAGAGCCCGATGAGATAATAACTATTAACTGCTAAGGATGTCAGTGAAGATGACATGACAATGCCTGAGAAACCCAGTACCTACCACAGTCTTCAACTTTTTTTTTTTTTTTTTAAAAAGAAGCTGAAAGGGATTTGAAAATGCAAAAGCCAGACTGGAAAAATAATGGCAGAAAAGAGGCCAGGCTGAAGAAACAGTAGGTGATAGTGAGATCATCTGATTTTTTTTTTTTTTTTTGCGCCCCAAGAGACCAGCTATCTGGATTTTTTTTTTACATATACGAAATCTCATTTTTAAATATAAATCATGTTAAAACAGTGTTTGAGTAGAACCAAACCCGTATGCAGGCTGACTGTGGCCACCATGCAGTCCAGTCTCTGTTTTGGTGGAAACCTTTCTGTCCCTCTTCCCGTAGGTCCACTATATGACGCACGGGGCCAGCAATAGCTCCGCACGCCGAGGGAGGAAGCTGGCCATCGAGAACACCATGGCTCTTTTAGGAACAGATGGAAAGAGGGTCCCCGAGATGTTTTCCAAGGAAATCATAGCCCCTTCAATGAACGTGGACCCTGCCGTGTGGAACCAGTACACCACCATGCTCAATGGCGGCCTGGCCATGAAGACCAACGAGATCTCTGTCATCCAGAGCGGAGGCATTCCTACCCTCCCAGTGTCGCTGGGGGCCAGCTCCGTGGTGAACAACACCACTGTCTCCAAGATGGATGGCTCCCAGTCAGCGATCAGTGCCGACGTGGAAAAGCCAGGGGCTGCCGACAGTGTCCCCAAACACCAGTTCCCTCACTTCCTGGAAGAAAACAAGATTGCGGTCAGCTAAGCTCAAGGAGAGCCCATGCGGATGGAGAAAAATGCAGTGACCTCTCTAGAACTGGACCTTTTTGTTTGTTTTTTTTAAAGAACCCATCTCCTCCTGTTTGGTTTTTTTTTTTGTTTTGTTTTTAACTGATGTGCAAATGATGTTTACAGTTGTGACCACAACCTCAGGCAAAGAGTCCTACAATCACGATGTTGCTATGCTGCTTTGCAAAAAACAAAAGAACAAACAAATTCATACTAAAACATACAGACTAGTTATTGTCTTTCTTTTTTTTTTTTTAATTTTGGAAAGAAGCGGGTCTTGCAAAGTAGCTTTGTTACTTGCGACAAACTATACATAAAACCTTTGTACACGCTGGAGTAACGGTTTCCAAAGACTTGTCACCTGTTTCAAGTTGGAACTCACTGACCCACAATGGAAAAGACAGCTGCTTAGCCTTGTGGGGGCGGGGGTAGTGTATCCTTCGGTGGTGACTGTGGGTAAATGGACAAGGTCTGTTGTCTTTAGGGGGCCTGCTCTGTATGCCCCCCAACCATGCACCCATCTTTTTATTTTTCTTTTTTGAATGTACTTCCCCCCCCCCCCCAAAAAAAAAAACTGAGGTTGTAGAAAGCCAGTTCTTTCAACCTTGGAACCTTAAGTAGGATGCCCTCAGATGGACTGGTTTGAGTCCTTAGGGAGTCAATGTGTGTGTGTTGCTGCTTATTTAAATACAGTTCAGGTCGTTCCCTCAGAGTGCCAATGTACTCCCTGTGCTTTCCAGATGCCACCTTCTCCCTGAATGCCAGGAGAAGAGGGGTGGAACCTTGAGCAGGGAACCTCAGGTGACTTAATTTAGTTCACCAGTGCCTACTCCATTGAAGAACTGGGTTTTCATTCTTGAAGAAACTCACGGAAGGGCGTGTTTCTTATTTTAGGGTCACGTACTTTTTAAAAAAATGTCCTTGATGTGACTTATGCCAAGTAATGATGAAGATTCTCTCCCCACCCAACCTCCCTCCCCCCTACACCCCCAGTATTGCATGAAGGCTACAAAATTGGAACAGGCAAGTCCTGGGTATGAAAGCTTTAATTTATCTACCTCATTTATTTTTTATTTTTGTAGCCTTAGTCTCTGTTTTCCTATATGATGATTTTCCTATATGATTCCCAGGCCCCGTCTTTAACCTAAGAGTTGATGTACTGGTGGGAGCGGCTGGACGTTCGAGATGTTTTTTGTGATTTTTTTTTTAATCCCCTTTTTGTATATGTAATATGAAGCGAACGATGAAGCGTTGCTCTAATGGTTTAACGAGGAAGGAGAAGGAAAGTCCGTAATCTCTGGGTGGAGAAGTGTTGCCCCCGCCATGTGGAGATGTAGATCAATACTGTTACCAAAAGTTTGTCTCTGAATTAATTATTGCACCTGACTAGGATCCCCAGATTTTTATTTTTATTTTTTTTGTTCGCCAAGTTGTGCCTTTCCTTCTGGAATTGTAAGTGAACACAATACTTAGTACCTGTTTACACTGTGAAGTGGATATTGTTACAGAGAACACACCAGAGGCTTTCTCACTGTTATGCTAACAATGCCTTGTGAATGTATGATCTACGGAGAGATCCCTGTAGTTGTACCTGCTGATGCTGACGGTTGGAGAATAAATTTTGGATATTTTTTCCCCCTACCAGGAGTGTATGTATGTTTTTCGGGTAGTTTCTGCTCTAAATTTGAATCCTTACTTGGTGCCTCGTCTCTCTCTCTCTCACACACACACACACACACACACACACACACACACACACACACACACAAACACACACACAAACACATGCGTGCACACACACACACACACACACCCTCCCCAACTCCCAGGTCCTAGAATGAAGATGCACATCTGGTTACATCCATGCCTGACCCATGTCTGAAGCACACAAACAACTAACTACTTGTTTCCTGGTGTCTTTGCTTTTTATTTTTTCTCCAGCTGAGCCATCCTGCCACCTGTTGGCAGCTCAGCAGCAGCTCAGCTCAGTTGCAGCTTTACTGGCCCATGTGGGAATCAAACCAGCAGCCCTGTTGCTCAGCTCGCGCTCGTAAGCCAACTCTTAACCAACCAAGCCACTCGGCTGGCCCCTGTCTTTTCTTTTTTTAAAGATTTTGGGGAGGGGAACAAAGTTGCTGTCCTTTTGTTCTTCAGTCTAGTTGTGGAGGATGTCTCTTCACTGGCCCATGTTGGTATTATCATTGCGCTCTTCCCAGGTGAGGCAGTCGCTCGCTGGCCATTGGATGGCCACTCACAGCAGCTCACCAAAGCTCACGCCAGCTACTGACCAGCCCCACTGCGGCCCACACCGTCGCCGGCGACTCATAGCAGCCCAGCTCCAGGTTGGGCTGTTGTTCATCATCTTAGCTGTAGAGGGCACAGAGTCACTGGCCCACATGTGGGATCTGAACCGGGGCCCTGCTGCTCAGAGCTGGTGTCCGAAGCCAAAGCTTAACCTTGCCACTCAGCCAGCCCCTGTCTTGTCTTTTTAATGCATAAAAGTTTTGTTAGAGTAATCTCATTCTAGAGAACTTTTGTTTGTGTTTGCTTGTGACCCAGAGGGCTTATGCCCTAGACTACCCTACGTCTCAGCCCATCCTAACCTGGCACACGCCACTGAGCAGAGACAGTATTTTTTAGCCATCTCATACTTAATGGGCTGCTTAGAAGGGCAAGGGCTGAGCATCACAGAGGAGGTGACATTTAATTCCAAGGGAAGATTCTTAGCGATCGTGGTGGGGAAAGTGCTCACTGGGGACAGACACAAGGAAAGGTAAGGCCAGGTGTGAACGTCCCGCTGATCAAGCACCCTCTTGCCCACTTCCGGTTCTGTTTGCCTTTGTGAACCTGATGGCAAAATCCAGCGTTAGGCCCCAGGACAACCTGCATGCATGTGGATGCCACAGCATGCTGGAGTGTGCTCTGACCTGGAAGCGGCTGGGTGTTGTGTTCTGATGGCCTTTGACTGGCTGTGAGCTCTGCAAGTCAGCGTCCTTGGCAAGTGGATGGCGTCATCCTCACCCCCAAAGATTCGTCTGTCCTTTGGCCTCGACCCATGTAAATTTAGGGTGAAGCAGCCACTCTACTGACTCTTGGGAGCAAGATTAACCCAATCCTTGAGAGAAGTGAAACGGGAGGTATCTAATTTTAACTAATATGCCCTGGTTCCAAGCGTCTCTGGTTTTCACCCTTTCTCCATCTTGATACTAATCCATAGGGATGTTTTATGTCTTTCTAGATTCAAATGCTTGGAAATTATTTTAAGAAAATGTTATGTTTTCCCCCTCTCCAACCTATGTTAGACATCTTCCCAAGGTAAAGCCCATTTTCTGGCTAATCCTTTTTTAAGTATCTGCAATAATGCAGAAATGTTTAATGAGCTGTTACGAGGCAGTATTCCTGCTTCCCTCAAACTATTAGGCAATTTGGTCGCATAGTTTTTCTTGCACTTGAACTAAGTCAGGTTAAGTTCCTACTTGAGGGATTGCTAGGACAAAGATGATGAATGTTCCCGTGTGTGTGTGTGTGTGTGTGTGTGTGTGTGTGTGTGTGTGTGTGTGTGTGTGTGTGTGTGTGTTGGCCCTAATCTCAGAGGCCCATTCTTGGAGGGAGAATAAGTTGCGATGTGAACACAACCCCATCTGAGCTGATGGAGCCCAGAAGGTAAGCAGCACAGCTGCTCTCAAACTCGCCCTGTTAACATGAGACCTGCCTGTCTTCCCACGTGTTCCTCTGCATTCTGTGTATTCAGAACTGTTTCTGATACTTGATGGTGTAAGAGAATCTCAACTGTCTTGACCTGAATAAACAGCCAGTTACATGTCAATTATGTCTCAATAAAACTGGAAGAATAAACTTCCACCTTTGCTCCCTGGCCCTCTGCCTTCAGGCAGCACCCACAGAACCTGTTTCAAGGTAATTGTTCTGGGAAAGGAATTGGTTGGATGGTGTAGAAGCCTTTGGGTAGGGCCTGAGGAAAGCGTGGCGTGGGCCCCTTCCAGGTGGAGAAGTTGCCCCCCTAGGCCGGCAGAACTTGCCTAAGCCATGGCGAGTGGGGAAGGTGGTGGTTTGTTCAGTCATGTCTGACAGTGCTGGGTTGACTCAGGTGACAGTGCAGCTGAACCACCGTAACAAGGAAGGTGTTGAGGAATCTGCACGTTGGCAGGAAGATTTTCAATAGCGTTTCAAAGGCAACTCCTACGGCAAACATGACCTGTTTATAACTCGGCAGATGGGTTGAGCCCAGACAGGAAAGGTAACACATGTCAGCATACAGAGGAAGCCCAGAAACAAATCAGTAAGGAGATGATACGGGAACATTTCATATCAGGAGAGGATGGATTCATGATGAGATAACTGGCCCTTCATTTGGGAAAGCAGTCCCAGGTCAGCACTTTGGCTGGGATGCCTTAGGAACTTCAGATAACCTCATCTGCAAAATGGATATCCGATTCATAGCATTATGGTGAGATTAGTCAAGAGCGTGAAAACAATCTGGGGCTTAGGAAGCAGTCCCATAGGGTAGCCATCACTTTCTGTGTGGCTCAGGAAACCTACATCGCTCGGCAGGATTGGTCCCAACTCGGGGTCAGGTGGATTCTCTCGGTTCAGTCTATGGAGACCGAGGGAGGATGTCGCCTGGGTGAGGAGGCTCCCAGTGATGGACAGTTCCTTCATCTTGGAAGATAATGTTCGTTTCTCTTTGCAGCTCATCAACTAGGAGAGCCTGTAGGCCGTAGCATATTTCATCATTCCCTGATTGATGGCTTCAAAAGTATAAAACTGCAAAAAAATAAAAGGTAGGCTAGTAGGGGTCATTTTTAATGGGGGTTTTTCCTGTGTCTTCAAATAAGTTCACACAAGCAGCTGAGTACTTCAGCAGGGGCTACCACGTTTTATTGATTCCTTCGTGTACATTTTTTCCACCACTGCCATGGACAAATACCCCAGGATACTCAGATGCAGGTGTTTGGAAGTTACAAAATGACAGAACCCTGCTTGTCCTAATCCCTTCCTGGGTGTTGGGGAATCCCATTTTGGGTCCATCAAAGAGCTGTATTTGGCTAAATCGATGTTTCTGATCTTGTATTGATTAACTAGCAGCTAATTCTTCACGTCTTTGCTTGCTTCTCCTTGGCATCAACTGATTTATTTTATTGATTCTGTACCCATGATGTAGTCGTTTAAAAGGGGCACTTTTTTCCAGTGGAGAAAAGATGTTTCCTGTGGAGTAGTTATCCTTGGTTTCCAAACAAAGTAAACACTTAAATTAGGAATGCCCACATCTTTTATTTTTAAAAATTTACAATTATTACCTATACATAACAAATATATCTCTGGCCACCTATCTTCTTAAGTTGCAGGCAGTACATTACTCACGAATGGCAGAGTATGTTCATTATTTATCTTTTCCAAGTATCCAGAAGTGAATAAAGCTTGAACTGAGCAAGGGAGTAAGTATAAATTAAAAAGTGAATTACCTAGAAGAAGCTGGCAAATGTTTGAATATAAAGTTAAAGTACATTTTGCCATAAACCATCACTGTTCAAGTGGCATGAATCCAAATAGGAATTATGATTAGGTAGAATTTGTATTTATTTTTAAACTGAAGTATAGTTGACATATAACTCACCAGTTTTAGGTGTACAACATAATGATTTGGTATTTGCGTACATTGTGAAATGATCACAATGTGTATGAATGCCCATTTCTGTTCAGAGACAATGGGTTGGCTTTGAAAGCTGTCAAAGTCCTACTTAGCCCAAAGAAGCAGTTGTTTTTGGTCAAGTATATCTGTTGTCTAGGAATTTAATGTTCTTGGTACCCATGAAAATTCACTGTGCCTTAAAAGAAACAACAAAAATTCCAGGTCCTCATCCCTTTGCTGTAACCAATTCCAGCTATTTTTAAATACAAAAAGAAAAATGAGCCTTAGTTAAACTAAGCTCAGAAGAGAGGAGGAAGTAAGTTACCTCTCAAAAGTGGGCTTCACAATTGAGATGATAAGACCTTGCAAACGGGTGTTCAAAGAAAGCCTCCAGCTCTGTATTTAAATGTCTAAAGGATGTTTGGGAGGGACCCTGGGAGAAGAACAACTTCCCAAATAACTTGCATTTCTTCCCTTCTGTTCCCCTTATCGAGCCCACCCTCCAGCCCTTTGTAAACAACCTATTGTTTTAAGCAAAGAAAAAATAAATTGAGATGAATACTAGTGTTCTAGGCATGACACAAAGGATGCGAAGGTTTATTGTATCCTGATGGCATAACTGGGGTTCCTTAAAGTAAAAGCAGTGAAGCAAGTTGACCTTCCATATCTGGTGGGAAAGCTGTGGGTACCCCTGGCTTTGAAGAAGCTTTTCTTTCCCTTTCTATTTACTTCATGTAAATCAGTTTGTTTTTGTTTTTCCCACTGCTTGCTTACTACTCGGATGGATTTCAGGGCAACTTGACGGGAGAAATTTTCTTCCCTGACCTCCGTACATGTCCTGAGTAAATTGTCCTGCCATAGACCCATTCTACCTTCACCCTATCACTGCCCGCGTTCACTCCTCCGCTGGCCCCTGGGTGCTGTTGCTGCAGGCCCCGTGGGCCTCTCCTAGCTCACTCAACCATCTGGATCTTGCTCAAGATGAGATAAAGGC